ACCAACACATTTTTTTGAAGAGGTTGCAGACCAGAAGTACTGGACTCCAGAGTGATACTTCTGCACATGTAAGGTGGTAGCAGTTAATTGTTACTGAAAACATCTGCCCCTGTTAGGATAAAAAAATGAAATGCAGCTTTTAGAATGATTTCCCATACTAGCCAACAACAACTGTTGCTGCCAAAGGTCATTATGTGATTTCACTGTAGAATTTAGACTTGACTCAGTGTCCTTGCAAAACAACAGTTTTATCATAATAATAATAATTCTACTTTATTACTGGTCGGTTTTTACAAGGTTATCAACTCCATACTCAATCCAAGGATATTGGTCACAATTCTACAGTGCATATAAAGTCTGTAAGATTTGAAAACTATCATAGGTTTCTCTCTCAATGTTCTTAATGAAGTTGCAATAAACTGTAAACGTCCTTTCTGTCTGAAGGCCACAATGTTGTTGTGATATCTAGACATATAATTTTTATTTTATTTTTTCAGATAAGGCGTATCCCCAAGTCTTGGAATTTTCTTCTATTTGCAGTTATGGCAATGTTTCTTCCAAGACTTATGCACTTCCTCTATTTGTGTTACTTACCAATATCTCCTCTTGGTGCAGAATGCTGCTCACTGCTGAGATTGGCTGGGCCCTTTGGCCAAGGGACTCGGAAAGAACATGATGATGCACACAGCTGTTGCCCCCTGTAACCCAGTGTTTTTGAAGGAAGCTTTGGTGGGAACATTTGACCCTAAGGACTTTCAGTGATAGTGTAGTGGTAGTTTTTCAAAGATTTTTCCGTTAGCCATCCCCAGGATGTCGCAGTATCTTACATGCCTTTATTTTAACACAAAGCTGGTTCTGAGTTATTTGCATTGTTATTTACAGCAGTCTGGCTTTAGTTGAAGGTGAATTTCTGCATGTGATGGTGCTGGGTGTCGCTGCTGTATTTCAAATTAAAGGCTACTTGAAGATGTATAAAGGGATTTTAATCAACAGAAGGGAAGGACTTTTTAATGAAGTTTTAATACATATATACATCCTGTACATGGTAGCCATCACCCATTGCTCTTTACTTCAGTGCAGATTGCTTTAGTTGGAGCATAGCTGTGAATAGCTTTTGTGTCAAACGCAATAGTTCACTATTTGCATATTTGAGTTTGACGAGAGAACCAATTCCACTCTGTCTTAGTGGTCCTCATCTTTGAGGATCAGCCAAGGGAGCCACAAGATTTGACATTATTATCATAGATATTATTAGTGTTCCACCATATAATGTTATTTTTTAAACACATGCTTTCATTTGTTGTTGTTAATGAAACGAACATAGTTTTATTTCTCAGTGTTTGTGAAATTACCAAATGTGTGTACTACAAAAAGATCTAATGTTTTTCCAGAAAAAAGTATATTGTATTATTAATGTATTTGTGGGTAAGTACAATTTTGTGTATGAAAACACATGTATGAAAACACATCTTGCTGCAGGATGAACCTCTGACCAATTACTCCTTCTATATTCTTCATATTTGTCTTTCTCACTCAGAATATTTAACCCACAATAAAGAACAAGAGGGAGACAGATTTAGATTTGTACATCCTCTATTGTATGGGGCGTCAGACAATCTGTAAATGAACCATGTGTGTTGCAGCACTGGAACCTTTTCTATAATGAGCCTTTGTCACTTGGTCCAAACAACTTTCCCATTAGATGAAAATGCATTGGCAGCCAGCAGTGTCCAGCTGGACGTGTGACAGGAAACTTTTCCAGTATAAAGCTTGCAAAGTTTCAAACGGGGGATTCCTATAAAACTGCTGGCACAATAATGCCCATTAGAATACACACAAAGAACCTTTGAATATAACATTTCAAACTCTGTTGCAATTTTAAGTATGACTGAATAAGATGCAGTGATTACAAAAAAGGCAGTGGCCACAACACTACTGCCATTAAAAAGAGGAAACCAATCTACACCCATCATACAGTGGTAGATCTTAAAAACAGTCACATTTATGACAAAACCAAAAGCAGGAATTCAGGAATTCATACATAAGCATGGAGAGAAGGATGGTGTTTTACTGTGTGTGTGTGTGTGTGTGTGTGTGTTTAGTTCAGTGCTACGAGTATGCCAATAGGGGGAGGTTTTGTACCACCCTCCACTTGAAAATTTAGGACCGCAATTGCATGATACTTAGTCATGTCTTCTTGTTTTTAGCGATGATAGTATCATGACTCCATGTATGGCAATGTCTATCAGTTAATCAGGCCACCAAGGCTCCAGACATATCTTAGCCGGGTACTGAGAGGTCACTGAATCCCTAGACATGCAGGAAGAGATAGGAGTCAATAAACAGTGCCTTCCACTCCACATCTTCTGTTCCTTTGAGCATGGCACCTAAACACCAACCAACTGGTGGGTCTGTGCAAACTGTTCCCATATTTTTTATTCAATTATATTATTTGCTATCTTAACTTTTCTTATACTTCATACTTTTTACGACAGTTTTGCACACGTACATTTATTCTATGCAACCCTGGACACATCATCATTCATCAGTGATGAAGCCGGGGTGTTTCAGATCTTACAGTAATATCAGACAACTTCACAAAGGAAATCCAGCTGGACATCAAAGAGGTGTTGTACTACTCCCAACGTCGGCCAAACAGTGACCTTTAGAATGCTGTGAGACTTTGCTTTACGCCTGGGGGGCACTGGATGCACATCTCAGGGTCTAAAGAGTCGGGATCTTGCCTATTTTCTCCACTTCCCGTGCACGCTTCACATCAAAATAGACAGTGAAAACGATCTTTTACCACAGTTTAAATATCTAAACTGTACTGTAAAGCACTTTGAGTGGTAATCAAGACTAGAAATGTGCTATAAAATACAGACCATTTTCCATTTCTGTTGGACATGTCACAAAAATAAATATTTGCAACACCTTGTGTACCTGTTTTACAGTAAAAGTACTCGCTTTTTGTACGTTTCTATTGACTGAATCTATTCATTTGTTTTGACAAGGTTGAGTACATGGGCCTACTTTTATTAAAGGAAATACAGTAATCATTCTAGAAACCTCATGTAACAGCTCGGCAGCAGGCACGCAGCAGACACACTCCCTGACCTCTACCAATGGACTGAATAGAAAATGGAGCTACATCACGAATACCAGATCATTGAAGGTCTAATTTACTGTATGCACTCAAATGTGGCTTATTACAATTATTATTATTATTATTACTATTGGATGAAACAAACAGGATACGATGCCAAACATGCACAATAAGTAAAAGAGAAGGATCATTTCAACCCTGAACATTTTTTATTCAAATTCAAACTTTTATTGATAGTAAACTCTTTTGAACAGGATTAACACTCTGTGGTACAGTTCATGTCTCAAGTTACCTTGAAAGGCTCCGGTTGGTTTTCTTTAGGCCAGCACAGCAGAGTCTGAAGTCAAACATGCAGACGGGTTGATCGTATGCCAGATTTTTTTACACATTAGCTTGTTTGCACTGGGTGGTATCCAAAATTTAAAAAAAAGGGAGGAACTGAATGTAAACATTACTGCAGGAACTGAATGTGCTGAAGCCAAAGCCTTTGTTTGGGTTAATGTCTTTCTTATTAAAGTCAAAAAGGTTCTGTGTGAGGCTCTTGAAGTTTTAGCAGGTTTTTCACTCATCTGGTTTCGTACATCATGACCAGAGGTGTGCGGGAGAAAGTGCACATGTTCAAAGCATAATATCATAGAAATAAAAGGTCTCAGGTCTGAACTGTCTCTCTCCCAATACAGTTCAATGCTGTTAAACATGATGTTGTAACAAATTGTTTGTTTACATCTAACAAACACATTGATCCATTTGCAAATATGCTATGCTATTAAATTATAAGCTTTTTAAATGTCAAAACTATCCAAGCTCAGTCTGTATTGTGCCTGTGAGCATAAGTAGACTGTTATAAACTTACAGTAATGTAAAGTGTAGGAAAAAAAAAAACCTCTGTGTGACTAACCTCTTCCAAAGTCAGTGTTGTTGTTTGTTAGGGAAAGATGACAGGGCCTGGTGATTAAGCAAACAGGAAAACTGGACTGCTGGACAGTCACACGGCTCAAATCAGCCTCTGACGAAGAGAGGAATTAAGAGGAAATTGTTATGTTTATGAGAGGATGATGACATAAATCAATAAACAAGGAAAAGTTTTCACTTCATCATTTAGATTTTAGTTTAGTTGGGAGTCTCTCAAGGTTTTTCATGATCAGATTCTGAATGTGAATTCATGTCCTAGATTGGGAGTGTCCTATGGCCACTCTTACTCCTCCCAACCCTGCTTTCACATCACATTATGTTAACTGTAATGATATGAAATAAATTCTTTCCCAGTCTTAATCCCAGTTGTAAATGTTTGGCTTCATCAATGGCTATTGTTTCCTCTCTAATAAAGGAAGGTTGACCCACCCATTGTACAAATAAGCCTTACAGCTATATTCTGTCTCTTAAGTACCCTTCAAACCAACACTGCATCAATTATTAACACAGGGAAAAAAAGATTAGGACGTGTTTTGCTTTCTTCTGCTTAAACTTTATACAGCACAGGTTTTCCTGCAGCTTTTCCACAAAAAGACATGAATCCAGCATATCAGGCCATAAAGAGAAGTTGTTGAGGTTATGCCTCACCACCCATTAACACAGGATCCACATGTGACTGGGGACTTTAACCAAACTGGCTTCTGGATCACTGCACATTCAGATACCGTGCAAGCAACAAAATGAGCACAATAATTCCTTCCAAACTGATCAATATCAATATAACATGATCAGTTGCTCTCCCAAAATAACTGTGAAAATTAAAGAAATCTGCTGGGAATGAGGCCAGAGGGGGCAAAGCACATAGCCTGACCCCTTTGAAGGCGGTGAGGAGGCTTGTCTTCCTGCCTTTCTTCCTCCTGGTTAACTCGTCATGTGATCAGCATTGCTGTCTGCTACTTAGTTTGCCCTGCAGTGAGCCTGGTGTGCCTTCAGAGGATTTACCGCCACAGGGCTTCTCAGTCAACAGCAAGGTAAGTCACATTTTATGTCATTGCGATATTAAGAGATAAAAACTGATTTTAGAATCTGAGTCTCAGAAGCGATATTTTAATCTTGTTGATGTTGAGATGCGTGCTATTTAGACTCCAGTGAAGGACAGACATTTCTACTCATTTCACTGGACCACACTCATACATTTACTAGTATTTGTAAAATAAAGATTTTGAGTATCTGTATCTCTTATTATTTGAGGCAGATTCCAAGGAGCTTTTCTCATCTCTCATAAATCTTTTGAGCTGCGGTTGTAACAATGAAAAGTCAATGTAAAAGAATGTAAAGTCAGAGTGAACGTGTGGTTTTTCTGTGCCGTTCTTTTGTTATGAAACTATTTCAGGTTGGTGTGTCTCCACACCTGTAATCAAACACAACCTTCCCTTTGCAAACACAAGGAGCCCTTTAAATGTGCACCTGTTGAGTTGAGTGCATCAATGTTTTAATTTCATGCTGACAATCCTTTAGACCACAAGTTACACAATAAAGCTTTTACTGGCCAAGAGATCCAGTCTTAAATGCAGCAATAAATATACAATCTGTTTTCTTAGTGTTCTCTTAATACTACAGTAAGGTACCAAATTGCACACACCCATTAAGCAAATACATATAGAGCCTGTGTATAGTGCTTGGCTGCTCAAGTGTAAGAATATAATGGTGGGAAAGTTATAATCAGTAAGTGAATGTTCTACTAAGATTCTACCATTTAGATGGGACTTGTGTCTCTGTTAAAGTTGCTTGCTTGTTGTTACCATTACTGCCCACTTGCATAAGCAGAAATTAGATTAAGCTACTCAATCACTTGATTATCATTATGTGATGTTCCTGAACATTCCTTCACTCCTCCCTCATTTTGTCTGAGTGCTTACGTACAACTCACTGGTATTGTTTGTGTGCGTGTGTGTTGCTCTGTCAGCTTGAGTTACCAGATCCTCTAATGCCAGTGCATTATGAAACAACATCATGTGAAAGGTGCTTCTATTAGCAGACACTAACGGATAAACATCCCCTAGCAATGGGATGGTTGGATTGTGCAAATGCAGTTTTTGTATGTTGATTTGATAGAGACAGATACAATATGGATACATAGTGAATTGCACAGCAATAATCCAATACAATGCATTTGTAGCAACTGCTTATTTAAAATGCCCATCCCAAGAATCTTTAACATAAGACGTCAGAATAAGACAAATGTATTTAGTAGGAGTTCACCTTATACAGTTATTCTGATCTGCTATTTTGGATTAAGTTTTTTTAACTTCTCCAAAATGTAAGAGTTTGACAGATTGACTGAAATACAAACATTAGACAGCTGACACATATTGATGGTAGGAAAATGTATCTTAGAACTAGAAAAGACATTGTCCTCATGAAAAAGGGGCAGCAGTGGGCATTTGTTGAAATGCTTATTGTTACTTATGAATGTGTTTCCTAAGTACCAGGGGAAGAACAAACCTTTTCTGTTACCTCAAAAGAGAAGATCAGCTGAAAGGTCTTTCATTAAACATCACCACTTAGTTTTACTTGCATAAACCTGGCCATACCTTTAAGTGAATAGAAAGTTTTACCCCAAAGCATTTCCAAGAGGTTTAAATATTGGTGCCATTAACCAGATCCGTCTGTTTTATCAACTCATTGATCGTAATAGGATGCAGTTATTTTCACCAGACCACCATCAGAAAACATGTCATTTGTTTAGATTGGCAAACAGACAATGAGTCACAGATGTTTCTTTCTGGCTGCTAGAGATGGTAACATGGCTATCACGATCAGCATGGCTGCCGTGCAACAGCAAGATTCAACCATGAGAATGAGAAAGAAACCCAGTTCCCAGTGCCGTGATGGAGGCAGAGTTAAGCAGCCAGTTATGTTAGTGAGTCTGATTTCAGTTCTTCCACAACTAGTTTTTAGAAAAAAAATATTTAGCGAGAAATATTTTCTCCAGTAGTTGGCAAGAAAAACTAGTTAAGACTTAAGAGATTTAAATATGGCCTCTGAGTTTGACAGCTACCAAGATTCCTTCATGCATGCATGTCTAAAATGTGGACAATAATAAAAAGAAAATAAATCTGCCTTTATGAGCTCGTCACAACTATTTTCCAGCTCTAAATTTTTTCCTATGGAGCCATTAGGAGTGTAGTTGTTGTGGTTTCAAGCTGGAGCTGAACTCAAGAGCATGACTCAGACAACAGAGTACTCATTTAATTTGGTGAGGTGTGCCACGTGGGCTCCCACAGAGTGATAGGCAGGAAACTGACAGACAACAGGAAGCTGGTCTTCAGGCGGTGCGTATTTACAGTTGGCTTCTTCATCTGCGAAACCGGCAGACAATGATCAGGCAGGTAACAGGCAGGCAGGATTCAGGCAGGGCAGACAGGTGGTTAAACAGACTGGCAGCTCCGCTATGATCTGACCTATGATAACCACGGCCTGAGAGCACAAACAGGAGCCAATGCTGGTCAAATACCACCACGTAGTCAAACTGTTTACTCTGGCGACGAGTGGAAGGAAGACCAGGATTCCTACGCTGCATCAGCTGATAAGAGGAGACCAGCTGCAGGTGTGCCAGGGACCTGCAGAGGGAAAAACCATGCCCGTGCCCAGACCTGCCAAACCAATCACACACATACTCACACACACCAAGCACATCAAACCAATCATTGTTCATTCATTCAAACAAATGGGTTTTTTGCCACTCACTCACTATTCCCTACTTCACTGTATAGACGACTATATGTTGAGCTCATCGGGACAAGAAAGGCTTTCAGACACTAATTGGTGAATTTTTGCCAGTAATTAAGTCATTTTTTGTAGCAACATCACTCTGTTGAAAATCCAAAAGTAAATTTAAAACCTTTTTCACTAAGTTAATAAACATATTGAATGAGCATCTTTAAATGTAGAAAAACTTGTTTCCCGAACTGTGTGTTGTGATGTGCAGCTCTGCTTCTATTCACATTTATACAACAGGCTAGGCTGTTCCTGCTGCCCTCGCTCCTCTTCTCTCTCCGCAGCGGCCGCAATGCATGATGGTATACAGTATATTGCTTGGTTGGTGACAGTTGGTTGTGCACTACTTTTTACGATGCATTGTGGGAAACAATGAGTGCAGTGTGAATTACTTCACTCACCATTCAGACACCACAACAAAATGGCAAACATACTTTATAGTGGACTATATAGTGATTAGACAGTGATTTCCAACCGGCCATTCACTCACACACAAACACACACACACACACACAGGGGGCCGCCAGGGGGCCGCCAGGGGGCTGACCATTGACCATGAAGTCACGACAGAATTTATTTATTTGCATGAAACATTTTAAAAGAGAGTTTGGATTTATCAGGACTATGTTTGGTGCATATGTTTAATATTAATTGACGGCTATGATAATTCCTCATGTACATACTGGTCATAGATAAGACGACTCATTACTCGTGGGATTTTGCTGTGAAAGACACAGTAGAAAACAAAAACTTACTTTAACTCTAATCTTGTGCATCATTTCTTGACACTGTTCAAACTTTATTTGAAAAACCAACCCATTTTATATTACTCCATTATAGCCCAGCAGCACACATTCTTCATTATGCCTGGCACCACAACAGGGAAGAAGCTGGATCTTTCCAGGCTCACAGATGAGGAGGCCAAACATGTGTGGGACGTTGTCCAGCGAGATTTTGACCTGCGGAAGAAGGAGGAAGACAGACTTGGGTAAGTTATAAATATAAAACCTTTCTATAACTAATGTCAGGCAGTGTTCATGCATTATACAACTGAATTATTTGAGGGTTGGCATTACGAAAGCACACACAGTATTTATTTATATACTGCTTACATTATTGACAAGTTCTAACCTTATTATAGTAAACCAATACAGACAAATTATTGCACTCTATTGAACTGTACTTCACGTTACCCTGCAAAGTCATGTATTTTTCATATCGTATAGTATATTTGGCTATATATAATGTAGTCTTAAGGTCTTTCATGCATAGATGCTACACCTCTGCGCCACTCTATTCCATTTCTCCACCGTTATTTTCATGATGGACGTCAGTTTTATTCTGAATTTATTCTTACTTTGTGGCTAAAGCTTTAGTTGTTGCTGTGTAAAGAATGGCTTTCTCTCCTTGCTATTTCCGTATTATTATAAGCAAGTAGGAATTAGTTTTTATTATTAACTGAGTTGCTATGTTAGCTGTGTGGCTCTAAAGATGGCAACTGTTGTTGTGACATTCAAGTTGTACAGTCACAGTGAATCTTATTGACTTTACTGAGCCTTTGACTTTTTGGATTTAGAGGGTTTGTCTCAACAACTGTTGGAAAGAAATACAAATTTTTGAGGGTAACGTTCCACACAGGATGATTTCACTAGGTCATCTAATCAGTTTCAGCTTCAATGACTACAGCAAATGTTGCCAAACAGTACTTTACTGCCTGATGTTTTCAGTTCTGGGGACTCCCCAAGAAAAATTCCCTGCTGGGGATCTTTCCTGAGAGCCACATCATTTTAATAATCACACCACCAATAGACACCCTGAAGTGATGTAAGCCGCAGACTGGATCTTATTGCAGTGTAATTTCTGGGCAATAAACAACATCAACCCTTTCTTTGATAAACACGACCAGATGAAAGGATGTTGCCGTGGTTGCATATGTGTGTTTGTTGGACTGGACTTCAGTGTGGGTTTATTGGTCCATGTTTAGTTACTACTTTTATGACTTATGTGCTGCTGTTTACACAGCTAGCTTAAAGTTGTATATGGGTGTTTAACCAATCAACATAAACTTGTGTGATTCAGCGTTTCTCCTGTTGCGGGAGACGACCCATACTCATGAGCTAGAAACAAAGTCACCCAAAGCATTAAGAATACAATTGTTGCTAGCAGTGTTTAGCCTGCACAATAAAAAAAAGAGGGGATCCTCTAACACCTGAAAACACCCATAGTCATTGCTAGTTATTAGCATGGTAACCCTAACCCTGATTACACAATCATTTGCATTTATAAAATTCATCATTCATCATCAATGGCACAGGCCAAATGTTATCATAGACACAGATTACAGTCGGTGAGAATCTCCTAACATTCCAGAGATAATAATTCAATCACTGTACATTTAAATCCCTGATCCCACTGCATAGGAAAGAAGAAAAAGCTGTTGTCAGTGAGAAAAAGGTTCTTCCTTGCGCTCAGCGACGTCACTGACAACACTCTTCAAGTCCATATTCCTGGCTCTGTTCGCTTTTGAGAGTATTGCCAGGCCGCTGAGTCTTTCTCGTCCCATGCTGCTCCTTAGATAGGTCCTAATTAGCTTCGGTTTTGAAAAAGAGCGCTCTGCAGTGGCAACAGTTATGAGTATGGTGAGTAGCAGTAATTATCCAAACACGCTGAATGAGGCCGCCATTGAACTGTTCTCCATGATCTTGGCTAGACCCTTCACAGTTGATTGTTTTTCTATTTCAGATCTTAAGCAGGCTCTGAATACAGTCAGTCGGTCTGGAAAACTCAGGTGTAAATCTCCGCTGTAGTGCTCTGCGAGGCGCTGTGCATCCTGATGAAGCGCATCATCCTGCGCACTGGTCAGTGTGCCAGGTCTAAATCTAAAAATAGGCTTTACTCAAAACCACAAGCATAACTCATTATGCCAGAATAAATATAGCCATCTTGATCTGGAAATGAAATCTATCTTAATCTATGACTGGCCAACATGGGCTCATCTATAAGGCCCACATTGGACTGTAGGTGGGCCCCCAACAACCTTTGGGCCCCGGTACATTGCAACGGTTCCAACGACAACAATCACCTCACCTTAGCTACAATCACCTCACCTACTCCTTTTTAAACTGAGCAACCTGTGGTCCAGATGTCAATTGTAGAATAATTGTCAATGTTATACAGTAGTGCAGTGTTAAAGCACAAGGAGATGAATCGTCATAGTAACATAACACAATAACAAAACACAAAAATAGCAAATTAAGTTTTGCAAAATTGAACTAATAGCAACCCATCAGCTTCTGGTCATAACAGACCGACAGTGTAGAAGCAAGTGATGGCCTAACTTTGTTGAGCTGCATGTCAGATGATTCATTGATTCACTCATGTCTCCTTTGTGACAGTGAGTGATAAACAGTTTAGATATGAAGCTGAGGAAGTTTGGAGGGAATTTATCATTATCTTGTAAAGTGGGATGACATTTTAACATTCAACAAAATAAACAAACAACCAGTGACACATTGATAAACGAAGATTTACATCTGATACATAAAGCCTAACTTCAAGTGTATACAGTGTTTTTTTAATTTATTAATTATTTGGTAAAAAATCCAATCAGAGCCAGTCGTTAAGAGGCCCAAAGGCATAAATAAGATGAGATCCCCTTTTAAATCTCAATATGAGGTGGGGCCCCTCTTAAAGTGAGGTCATCATAGCTCCTGGAAAGTTACCCTTTGAGTTTGCCCAGTTGTTTATTTCAGACCTCCAGGGCTATGTTGTGTAGACATGGTTCACCCATGTGTGCTGTGACAAATCCCTTATTGAGTCACTGACAAAATACTTCTCAAACAGTAAGTCTCTTAATAAGATTTCTTATCAAAGAAAAAATTGATTTTCTGCTTCTACTACTTCTCTACGGCCTTGATCTCCAGGGACTTCTCAGTATTTCTGTGATTCTAATCTGAACCAAATTTAAAGTGTTCCAGACTTCGAGACGTTTTTTGATATATTTCTGATTTTCTGCTCCTCATTTCCTTTCAGACAGAGAGCTATATCATCCTCATTAAATAAACTAAACTGTGCTTTTGTTGGTGTGCATATGCATTTCTCAACAATGCAGTAAATGGAGAAAGCCAGACATTTGTTATAGAGTTTGTTTTGTTTTGTTTTTATTGTTCTTTTTCATACATGCTGTTTTTACTGGACCATTCACAAATCATTCTATAGTTGGTCAAGCAGTTGACTGAAGAGTTGACCCTCCTATAGGGTCATGCAGATAGATAGATAGATGAGATTTTATCACAAATACAAGGACAGGCACTGTCCCTAAATTCCATCCACTTCCTGCCAAGGTTCTTCTTCAGCCATTTGCTTTCCATCCAAATGAGCTGTTGTTTGCTGCACAGGCATCTCCTGTTTTCATCCAAGGCCTCTGCAGTCTAAAAATAGATACAGATCTCCATGTGGTTTCCATATAAAACTGTCACACCTAAATCTTGTAAAACCACATATGTTGGACCACAAAAGGATTTTGGTACTTATCTTGTTAATGATTTCGACTTTCAGAAATTCGATTCTTAGAGATAGATTTTTGTTCTTTAGTGTGCTTTGTCAAAATTTGATTTAGTAATACAGGAATAAACTTACAATATTTGAAAAAAAAAACTTGTTGCAGACAGACATGGTGAGAACCATAATGTATGGGAACATTCAGACACAGACAGCTATGAAGAGCAAAGTAACAAAGTGCACATCTAGCAGCCACACCCAGATTCCAGGGCTTTGCCAGATAAGCAAATCTACTGCTGTACCAGCTTTTAATCAAATACAGAGGAAAAATAATGATGCTGGACACATCATGTTACTTGGTAGAACTCCCTATAACATCTGGTACAACATAGTCATATGATCTATTTTTAGATGACTTAGCCTTATGTTAACAGCCGTCATGTTTTCAATATGAAAGAAAGAGGAGAAAATTAAAGGGAAAGTTCACCTATTCACTCATTTTCTACTCACCACTATGTCGATGGAGGGGCGGTGAAGTGTTTGAGTCCACAAACACTTTAGGAGTCTCAGGGGTAAACAGTGTGAGTGCAGAATCCGATACTAGCGGACATTAGCATGTCTGTCAGTGGTGAGTAGATGAGTGATTTTTTATTTATGGGTGAACTATCCGTTTAAGAAAAAGCCTAGGTTGAAAAGAAAGTGTTATTTTGTTTTCATTTAAAGGGATAGTTCACCCTGAAATAAGTCAAATTTAAATGTCTGGGCTTACAGACACTTGGATGACTTTTTTCGGTTGGTTTTTTACGTTAGAAGAATCGGTCAGCATTTACTTCAATTTTATTGGATTTGGCTACAACACTGTTTTTTGGTTGAACTCTCCCTTTAAAGTCAAGATTAGATTGTTAATAACATCTGTTCTTTTTAAATCATTCACAATTATATTATATACACAATTAATTGCATAATGTGAAAGCAGTGACAGACACAAAAAACAATACTCGACTCTGCAGTTTTCCTTAATTCTACAGAAAAGTTTAGCAGCTTTCAGCTGATTGTTTTGGTTTTGCAGCCTGTAACATCATTGTTTTAAAGTTTGCTACAGGAGCTTTTTGTGAAAACCCTCTGATTAAGTAGCAAACATTACTCACATATATTGACTGTATAAACTTACAATGTAAAACTTCTGTTCTATTACCTGCTGCTTTAAAATGTTGTGTTCATGTTGAATGAAACACTACAGTCCCTTGATCACCTCACCAACAAAGATGTCAGCAGAATTGGACAAAGAAGACACATTTAACAGTATGGTTACAGCAAATTCAACACAAACACAATTCCCACAGATCAATCCCGACTGGGGACCTTGCATGTTGTGCTCCTTCTCTCTCACTGATGTTTGCTGCATGTCCTTTTATTTAATTAAAGGCAAATAAATAAAATAAACTTAAAATGGTTAAATCACCTATAATATTAGAATGCAAAGTACATTATCCAGAGTTTGTAGCCACCTGCTGTAGCCAAAAACAGCTAACACGAACAGCTACCACATTGAGTTTCTGTGGTTTGCAGGCATTTGTGCATTTGTCTGCTAATCCCAGCCTGATCAATCTTCACTGAGGGCCATCAATGATAATTATCATCTACCAAAAAAGTGAAGCATTTTAACCAGAGAGCAGTCATGTTTTTATCATTACAGAAGAGGAGAGACAAAAGAGAGAGAGAGAGAAAAGAAATCTACTGCTCTTCAACTAATGTTTAATTAACTTATCTTGACATAATATATTATTATCTGACCAACACTGAATACACATGTATATTCCTGCAATTTATGAAATTGCTAAAATTGTTAAAAAACCAAATGACATTTTTTTTTTCAGATTTGTTGGTCACAAATGTTTTTAGAGATAACTATCCTCCCAGATCAACAAAGTGGTTGGAGTTAGCCTACAGAATTAGCTGTCGGGTGGTTTGTGCAAGGTTGGCCTCAGATGGATTCAAAATCACAGCCTGAATTATTCTTTCAATCCACCAACATGTGAATAAACCACTTGCAACCGCGTACAGAGGGCAGCACTCTCACGCTTCTTAAGCCATTGCAGATGTTTTTGATCTCTAAACCTTGTCAGCCATGTGTCAGTGAATGGATAGTTTGGATGTCGCCTCCAGCAAACTTCTGTTTCAGAGTAGGGCAGATTTGACAGATATTACATTTAAATCACTTTAGTTATGGCCAGTAGCACGAGAGTACAGGACACTAAGGATACAAAGACCCAATCCAATTTCCCCCATTCTCCCTGCTCCTAAACCTTTTTTTTCACGGGTTATCGTGCCCCTTAGAAAAGAGTTATAAGGTTTAGTGGATGAAATCGTCCCCAAGAATTGGGGCATCACTTCAAGAAGCTGTTACATCATCAGTAGTTGCCACGGGAACCCGTCACGTCATCAGTAGTCATCGATGTAAAAAGACACGACAAAAAGTTTTGCCAGGGATGTCATTGTTGAGATCTTAAATAAACCTATGCTATTGCTTGCAGTTACAAAAGTGACAAACCTATAATATCCTAGCATCTATGCTAATGCAGTTGAATCAATGATATTTATCCATTCATCCCATGGAAATTGAAAAGCTAAGATTCTCTGCATTATTTCTTGTATGAATCAAAAGCACAAAGCTTCAGGCTTCTAGCAGTGGTCTGTATATGAAACACTGCCAGGATGCATTATTGATAGAGGAGCATTTAAGTTCAGCAACATCATTGCTCTACACTGGTTAAATCAAGTGCATCGTGTATCCTCAAAAAGGAATTTTTATGTAAAGATTATAATGCAAAAAAATCACTGGCATGCATTTTTCAAGGTTGTTATAAAAAAAGACCACAATACATTGAAATGATATTAAACTAAGATAATACCATTAATATTATAATTTACATCCTAATGGATGGAGAAAATACTACATTTGTGGGACTCTCTCCCAGGTGCCGTGATTCACAAGGCATTCTGGGAAATACTCGCCCTCGGTTTGAAGTGTCAGCCCAAAACATCTCCATTTGTAGGCGTCCCTTACATTTTGGCCCTCCCCCTTCATCCCAACAAGTATCAGGACTGCCTTCTCTTACACGTGAAGGCACAAAATGCAGGGGAAGGTCTAAGGGTTAATGCTCCACCCACGCTCTGTGGCATTTGGGACTTGTTATCTGAATGTTTCCTCCCCAGTACTGTCAGCATCTGGTTGTGCTGAGTGAGGCTGTGACTGAAAAAAACAGTTGGACTCAAAGCGAAGACGTCATTCAGGATGCACGTGTTAGGAGCCAGCAAGTCATAGAGAGGAGAGGAAAGATGTGTTTGAGAAGGATAAAGCTTTACTTTTTAAAGCTGATGAGTGGTAATTGGCTGAGTTTTTTGGTGCACTTATTCTATTGTGCAGGTATAATCATGAGCTTCAGACAGAGTACTTTCAAAATGGCTAACCTTCAGAGTTTTCCGAGAGGAAAGAAAGTGTTAATTTACTGTATATCTATGGAAACAGATTGAAGACTGAGCTAGCTAATGTTTGTGTAATTACTGAAAATGAACCTTTATCCATTCATCCATTCATTCACTAAATAAATCACTTATCGAAGGATAAGTGGAGCCAATCCGAGCTGACATTGGACAAGAAGTGGGATACACCCTGGCATACCGTCATCTGGTCCCCTCCACTATAAATATGGTGAATCATTTTCACATTAATCACAACAGATTAATGAAGCGCTACAGGATAACATCACACCTTGCTCACTTGCACCTACATGTGCATTCTCTACTGGTACTGGTTAAACTTACAAATCAATGTATTGCTATACACAGAGAGTAGATGTTTGGTAAATACAAAAAAAAGAAAGACAATATTAAAAACTTCAAATTTTCAAGAGAGAAATCAGTAGTATCTCATCTATATCATTCAACTTCATTATCATTGCACTGACTGTTTCCTGGAGAAGCACCACAGTATTCAGTTCCCCTACTTGCTTTTCTATGAAATAAGACTGACATAATGTTTATACAAAGCTGCCAAAATGAAGGCATGTGTTGTCGTCCATGTACTGACAACCATCTTATACATGATTTGGACTCAAAAAGTTTGTTTTCCTAGCTGTAGAAACACACACTGATTAATAAGATAGACACGTACACACAACAGCACCACAGTTACTTGTTCAACATTTAGGCTAAAGTCTTTATGCAGGCATGATGGCCCCAAATGTTTCACAGGAAGATTTTTGCAAATTTCCACTCAGAACATTATCTGCAAAAACAATTGCCTGTCCCTAGATGTGCATCTCAAACATGATTTGGCAGTGATTCCTGCAGCCAAATCAGAGCAGTGTTGTCAGTGTTTGTAAGTCATACCACTAGTGGCCAGCGGCTGTATCCCATTTATCAAAAATGTTCTTGGTGATAATTTCAATAGCTGTATCTAGCACATCTAATGTAGCATGACATGTATTAGCTCTATACAGTAATCAGTCATACTTCAATGAATCATGCATCATTGTCAATTGCAGACCTTGGTGAAAGGCCAAACATATTCAGTTTTGCACCCCACTCAGAAGCACACACAGTAATTGCCACAGTACTAATATGTCGATATAAGTCACATTTCTCTGATATTCTATCAGCTTTAGAAATGAAAATATCTCTTCTTTTGCATTTCCAATCATGTGTATTGACTACATAATGTTAATTTAGGACTCAAAGATACATTAAAGTTATTTTCCCTCTGGAAAATGTTTTTTCATCTGACTGTATGCAGCTGGGATTTGTCTCATCTTTGGCCAGAACTGCTCTGATAAAAAGTGTTTGACATATGTATTCTTTTTCTTTTCAAATTGGTGAATACAGTGCATGAGGGTGTGTTTCTGGCCCTATGTTAGTGCCATATTGCACATTTGAGAATGCTCTCTGAAGAGAAAAGAGCTAAACGACACCACATGTTGAAATTTGCTACAGGTGTTAAAGATGGCAGATTTTTGTGGTTTGGGTAGTTTGCTTACAGAATATATTTACTGGGGGAAAAGTATGCCCTTGCTGAACCATTACTTCACTCTTCCAACATTTATGACGTTGTGTTTTCAGTGAGCTGAAGACCAAGATTGAGAAGGAAGACACTAAAAGGGAGCTCTTAGGACACCAGACCAGCCTGACTGAGTCCTACTGTATTCGATGCCTCCAGCCCTTCAAATTCCTGGTCAATAGCAAACGTCAGTGTCTGGACTGCCACCATTATATCTGCAAGTCCTGCAGCCGCTACAACAAGAAGGAGCATGGCTCAGTGTGTGATCCCTGTCATATGGCCAGGTAAGAAATGACAAATTAAACATATGAAACCTGCATTAATAAATACTTTTTTGGCGCTGCCAACAATTTTGTAACCCTTTAATGTAATTGCTTATAGTAGGGTATGTGAGTAGGTCTATTTTAAATCTAGCCATCTTGCTGAAATCATTATCCATGATCACATGCCTCCATGATCCACAATATGGTTGCAGTCGTGAATATGTATTGATGAGACATTCATGTGATGACGATGGAGAGAGGGTGAGAGAAGATCCATGTGTCATATAGCCACCTGCAAACTAGGCCTGTAGCACAGAGCAGAACCAAGTGCGGTCCAAGGCAGAGCTAACAACTACAAATGTGAATATGTGTCCATGTTATTCTGTATGAAACACAAACACAACTTCACAAACACAATTTAAATGAGTTTTCAAATCACAATGTCAAAAGATTTGGTCGTGTTTGCATATTGCACAGTCACATCTTGGTTAGACGTATTTGATTTTGTGCATTAAATCGTCACAAGAAAGTGCTCGTTTTAAAGAATGCAGTGGTTCTTCACTGGTTCATATCAATAATCAATGTTGCATTTGATTGCATATGGTCCAGACGGCACTGGTGGGCAAAATCACAGCCATGAAATCACAGTTGAAAGAGTTGCTCGCTTGGTAACAGAAAGTCATGCTTACTCTATCTTTGTACAGCTGTGTCAGTTCATTTGAAGGTCAAGATTCGTGCAACACAGTTCATCTTTGTGTGACCCCCATTTGAATGTGACCAACCTGACACGGGGGATTCAAGCCTGAGGTCACAGAATGTTCACTCAGTGTGAAAACATACTGTAAGCCTACAGTGCATAAATTCAAGTCTTAATCCATTTGCAGAGCCTTTGTTTTCTACTCTGGCTGTGACTTTGGTAAATTATGCTGAGCTGCCTTTGACCAACTACCGATATATTTAGTAAACTGAAAAAATGATACTTAAGATGCTGAATGGGATTTATTTTATAGATGTGTACAGGTTTTCTCTCAATTGTATTGGAGGAATGTACAATTATAGTACTTGGCTGATATCCACAAGGTCTTCGCCTCCCTCAACGATTATTACTGCAAATCTTATTTTGAATAAAAATAAACTTATTCTATTTGGCTATTGTGGATCCAATCTCATTGTACATTAACACACAAAAGCTGCAGAGTCTGAATATTAGTCAATATGATGTAAAATACTTTGAAGTTACACCATCAAGTTTTTTCATAATTGGACCGTCAGAAATGAAATACAACTGCTGACAGGTATGTGAGAGTGAGGGAACTGTATTGATTAGTTTGTAAGCTGATCGCCAACTGGTCACCAGCTCTAATACTCTGGTATTTGTTACATTGCAACATGTGAGTTAAGTGTCTCTGAAGTGTGTAGATACACATTGTCTGCCTTTGAAGCTCGATGAACATATACAAACTACTCACAATGAATTCCCTGAGTATAGTACTGCCCTGTGGACGCATCACAACCAGAACAACTTTGTGAACAGTTAGTGATTCAGTGTTTTGCACAAACCTAGACTTTTACGGCAAATTCTGCATTTGATTATAGTTGGTGTTTCAACTTTAACTGCTAAAGCTCTATTGCAGCATTAGAACTTAATATATCCAGCTCACTCCAGCTCCATATGTAACCATTATACTGTTGTTTGCTCAGACGAGGCTGGGCTCTGAAAAGCCCTCTCACTGACCTCAGGCAGTGTCTAGAACACAGTGTGCCATGAATCTCCTGCTAAAACCCTACATAAATGGGTGAATACACTGTACTTTGTGCTGCAGTCAATAATTACATGCCTTTGCTTTGTGCAACAAAAAGCATTGATTTCTAGGTTGGAGGGGTGTTGGTATTCCCACAGGTATTTTTTTAATTAACCTGGTCTGTGTATACATTTATCCGTAGCCCATCCTTCATGTATCCACTATGTCCTCTGACAGGGTCCTCAAGATCGGCACATTGGAGTGGTACCATGAAAACGTCCGTACCCGCTTTAAGCGCTTTGGCAGCGCCAAGGTGATGCGATCACTCTTCAAGAGGTTGAACAGTGAACACAGTTGCTCTCAGAGTGACTGTGGAGGTGAGTGGTCCAATTTTTAGTCTGTGGTTAGTTTTCTCTTTATTGTTTAACTTGTTATTTAAAGTGGAGTGTCTGGAATGTTTTAATCCCTAATGAAAAGCCGTAAGCAATAAGTAAATCATTAATACTCCCCCTTTACTTTACTAACACTGTCGTGGTGGCCTGACAGCACAAAGATTAGTTTTACCACATTACTGCTCAGTGGTCAACATTCAAACACTGTGGTTATTCCGCACAGCTGTCATGTGGAAATGTATATGTGAATGTTAAGCAGAGCAAATCACAGGTTACAAACTTAGGTAGAATGTCAGGTCTTGGTTCAACTGCTCACTTTGAAGGGGCAGCCTTAGCAAATGTCCATCTGTTTCACTCCTTTTACAAGCCCTGAGGGGTGCTGCGAATCAGAAGTGGATTCTGCTGGAGTTGCAGAGGATTGCTGGAAGCCTGCTTGAGCTTGACCATATGAAATCCCCAATAAATGAAAATGCTTCGTGGAAAATCAACAGCTGCACACTGTACTGTAACTGTGTGGAAAGTTTGTATCAGTTCGGTCAGGACTCTACTACCGGTGGTGAACGCAAAGTGTTGCTAACTCTCTCAGTACCAAATCCACCTTGTTTTCCGCCTAAGAAAAGAAATACTGCTCTTACTTTTCACCATTGCTGTTTCTCGTCCACGTATTTTCTGCAACTAAGCAACCAACTATAAATAGACAATCTGCTTCCTGTTTCACCAACACATGCATGAACAGCACATGAGTGGTCATGTCATGTGAATTTTCAGGTAAATGGATGTCGGATTACTTCTGACAAGGGAAAACGCTCGTCTCACCAGAGACTGTTTGGAAAATTAGTGTGGACATCGTCTTAATGTCTGTGTTTTTATTTAATTTGTCACCCATCTGTCTCTGAGACCTTTCATTTTTGTGACACTGAGTCACCAGAATGACTTTTTCTGTTTTTCAAATTGTAAGCCAATAATGAGCAGGCTGCCAAAGCTATCATGGGGTCTAATCTCTTCCATCTATCCTGATTTTCCGGCTCAGACTTGTCACAGCTGTGCTGAGTGCTATCACAGACTAGTTTCTCATGCCTGGAAATGGCTCAGAACAGGTCCTGCATTGTTTGGATTTTATTTGTCCTTAACTGACCAGTGGGTTGCAGACGTCCACCTTCTGTGTATACAAACATTGTCTGCTGTGTGTTTGGAGACATTATTACCAGAGATACTAATGCGGTGATAAGGCCTGTTTATGTTCTCTCCTCGTGTTTAAATTTTAGTGCAGTGACGCTATGACATTCTTCATCAAAACCTTTCCAGCACTCTTTCCTATGTTTTTGAAGTTGCTCATGTAGTGTCGCAAATATCCTGTGGCTGCACCCAGAGCATAGAAAGCAAGTGCCCTTCTACATTTAAGTACATTGCATATCAGCATTAAGCATTAGTGTACATTGCAGGCCTCCAAGTGAGATCCTAGCTTCACATCAATGAATTTACAAGGAGGCAGCTGGGACTCCTGGTACTGCTTGCGCTGAGTCACCCTCAAGGATTTTAGGAGGGTATACAGAGAGAGTTAGTTGGCTGGCTTAGCCCCGCGGGCCTTGTGATCCTCCAGTCACATGTCTTCTATTTTTTACGTCTGGAATTAAATGATTCAGTTCTGCAAGACTCCAACAACCAGAAGCATTAGAGAGAAGAAGAGAAGAGAAAAAGGGAGGGAGAACAAAGCTTTGTTCTGTCATGTTCTGATGTGGAAGCCAGCTCTTCGAGTGTGCACAGATGCAAGATGTAGCTATGTGAAATGTTACAATATGCAGGTCAACAGATGCATTGTGATCAAATTGGCAACTCATGTACAGATTCATGTGACCATCTGGATTGAATTCAACATGCATGACTGTACACTCACTCTCCCACACACACATACTTTCAGCTGCTGTCTTTTTACTGTGTGTGTTGTGCTGTGGTCCGTTGGGCCCCCATAGTTTGGACGGTGTCATCTTATGTGTACAGTATCTATGTGAAGAAGGAGAAATGTAGCACTGCAGCTACAGCAGTGTCTTCGTTTACACACACTGGACAAAAAAAGAGCTGAGTTCAATTTTTTGGCTTCCCTAGACCTGGCTCCTTTGTTTAATGCTGCTACTGCTGCTCCTGCTTCTATTTATTACTTTACGTGGAAAGTATTGATAAGCTACAAGAAATGATTTGGCAAATTTGCAAACCTAGCATTATTCAGGGAGATGGCAATTCTATCCTTAGTTTCCCAGAGAATGAGCATGCCATATACCTTTTCTATTTACATCCTTTCACCTTTACTCATAACAGTTTGGCAATTTTAAGTTTTAAGTTTTATTTCAATCAGACAACTCACGTTCAATTGTGTTTATTGCAACAGTAGAACATGTTAGTGTTTGGCGTCTATGCTCCGTCTTAATCAGTCCCCCTGATATGATAACATAGTTGTGATGGGAGTGATGAGCTAATACCCTCACCCCCCAGCGTTGGAGCCTAAAGTTGGATGCTGGGTTGGTGGAAAGGCAAGCAAAGGGAGTGATGGGACATTTTCTCTGCTTAAATAGACCACCTAATAAGGTGGGTGTGTATTATAGATGATTGTGGAGAGTGAGGTATGTCACGTTGTGTATGTCACATGACTGGAGCAGCACAGCTGGAGTTGGCTGCCTGAACTAGCTCGTAGACGTCGCTCCATTCTTTGGCACAATAAATGTCCATATCCAGTAGAGACACTTCCTTTACTCTGCTGCTCACATGACTAACAACAATGAACTGGATATGTATCAACTGTTTGCCCTGAGATTACTCATAAGATTTTTTCTTTTTTTGAAACTGTGGGATGAAAGCTGACAAAGCAGGAAACTGGCTCATGAAGATTCACAACCCCAGGTTACCATGAAGGCTCTATGTACATCATACTTTAGCTGGTTAATGGTAATTTGAATAATTGCAAATTAGTTTTTCGAGGCTGTCCATTAAAAAAAAACGTAAACGCTGTCAACATACTGACTGGTTTCCCTAAACCAATTTCTATTACCTCAAACAGGGGTCACATGTTTTTCCACCCTGGGCCTCCCAGAGGATTATTCCAGTATGTGTGTGGTCCTCCTTAGATTAATTCCGGATGACTGTAAATAGTTCAAAAGTAGTGTACTGCCTTGTTCGCTTGCAATGATATTGAACCATTATATTCATGATTGTAATTCCAAACAGAAGGTAAGTTTAGTTTCAGCACTGAATAATGACATTACACTATAAACTGTCTCACATAGTGTGTACAGTGGTTTTGGAGCAGATCAGCGAGTTCTGGTTAGGCTGGCACTGTCACTGCTCATCTGGCTTTTATTCACATTGGCCTGTTGATTTAGTCAGGGAAAACCAAGAGTATAAAAAAAGGATAATGGCAATCATTACTATTATTATGTCATTATTTGAGGTTGTGGTAGTGTTGGTAATGCTGGCACTAATATTATATTTATCTGCACATTTCTGTCAGATATCTAGAAAAAATATATTTATGACGGAAACATAGACTGTATAAAATCAGAAATTATAAAGAGGTGATGCAGTAAAGGTTCACAGTTCTTCACTGTTATGAGCATAAATGGAGCTGAAAATCAAATGAAAACACATAATGTTCCTCCTTTTGCCCTTTTCTCTTTCTACCTATTGGTAGAAATATTAATGTGCTTCTCACTGTAAAGACAAAGCTCATTGATTTAAGAGTTACCTGGTTTGAAAGATGTGATACGTTGATATGATATTCATTTGCACACCATCTTTCCAATGATCGAATGCTTTCTTGTGCAGCATGTTGTCATTCGGTGATTGTAAAAAGGTTCAACACTAACATGTCTGCCCTCTATACCAGCAGATGGATATGAGGAGCACAGTATGGATGCAACGGATTCAAAACACTACAAAAGGGTATGGCAACTCTTCTTTCACTAACACAGTTTCTCTTAGAGTTGATTGACTAGTACATGAGCTTCTCTTGTGTTTCCGAATGGTTTTGTTTGCAAAGAAAATACAATAAAAATGAATGTTGCAGCTTTGTGGATAATTTACTTTAAGCAAAATTTTGGCCATCAGAGAGCATTCCAGTGATTTGCATTATTATACATGAACCAAATCAATCTGTACTAGATCATTCGTTTCTTTGCTGTTTTTCAAGATCTTGACACAAATGCACAAACCTAACTGATTCATAAACAAATGTTTACTGTTCTTTCATTAAAATATGTTTTGGTGCTTAACTGCAACACAGACAATTTCATTCTACATCAAATCAGCACACTGCATATATGCATGTTTGAAACAACTGGGTGTTTAAAACAACTGAGTGTCTGCAAGGCTCCACTGTGGTCAGCACTGAGCTTCATCATGCTGACAGGTCCTTCCTCTGTTGAAAAGCTGAGGGCTTTTCCACACGGTTATCCACATGATAGAACCCAGCCCTCAAGAATATCTGGAATGCCTTGACAGCTGGTGACTTCCAAGGTTAGGAACAGTTGAACTGACCCTGGCTGCCATGTATTGTGGGTAAATACCAGGCTGTCATACAGAATTGCATAAAAGAGTGCAGGCAGAGTTGAAAGAGACTGGTTTAAGTCCTGAGATTGTTAAAGAGGGGCAGTGAGTCCACTGGAATTTGTCATAAAACCAAGACTACTTTGTTCGTACCACAGTGTCTGTGTAATATAGGAGCAAAGCTTTGTTTATTTCCAATCACTGCTGCGGCTGTCGAGTGGAAATAAAACTGCTGACAGGACTCTCGGGCTCTGTAGGATGTCTAAATGCTGGGTCTTTGTTTTCGACGTGACAAACAATTAAGGTTTTATTTGCTTCATACATGATAGACTTTTGGTTGGATTTTTCCAAAAGGCCAGTCAGGGATTCCAGCATCCCGTCTGATTTCATTTACTGCCACCTACTGTTCTAAATAAAGTACTGCCTTTTGCTGCTAAGGACGGGGCGGTTTTTGGAGCTTCAGTTCAGTGTCATGCTCAAGTATTCTTGGGTAAAGTGGAGTTTCTGTCAACACATTGTTTGAGGCAGCTTTAGTCTGAGGACTCATAGACAAATAAGCATAGAAGATGTTCTCCGAACCTCATGTTTCAATTTTTCTTATATATACACCTGGTGATTTTTGAAAAACCGAGAGCATTATTCAACAACACAAATTATTGTTCTGAAGGAAATTCAAAACTGCTCAAAAAATATTTTAACTAAATGGATGAAAAAAAAATTTTCCAGCCTTTATAAAAAAGACTTTTCCTTACCTACACAAAGATGGTAACCTGAAGTTACTTATGTTCTTTGTGCATGATGAACCAGAAATTTGAATATAAATATGATTTACAGTAATTATCAGACCTCCTGTCATGCTATGGAGGCAACAGTGTGTCATGATGAGTCTTTTGTTGAGATCATTTCCATCTTCTCTTCTTCATTTGTCCTTTCCATGTTTTATCCTCTTTCTCAAATCTTCTGTGTTGGTGGTGATCCCCTTTCACTGTCAAAAGATAAAAAAGGCCAAAAGGAGGTTAACTGTCGATCCCATTGATTTCGAACTGGGCTGTGACTACTCCGAGGCAAGAGGACAGTCTAATCAGGTAGAAGCTGGACAACTAACCACAACCAGCTTTTCCACAAACTAAACTAATACGCATGCCTTCTTACAAGATGGCCTTTGTGTTCCTTCTTTTGGGTAATCTGCTTCTGTTTTCTTTTTTAATAAACATCCGCTTTAGTGAGGTGATGATATTATTTTACAAATGTGTATGCTTGTGTACATAGACACAAATAAGTTTGCCATATTTGGCCAATGTCCCATCTGCTAACATTGCTTTATGGCCTATACTACAGCCAGCCACCAGGGGGCGATCTATATGATTTGGCTTTACTTTTGGGGAGAAGTCATGTCACCCGTTTTTATGTCTGTGGGTGGATCCAGGAATTCATCAATAATTTTCTGCAACATTGTAAGATCAATTTCTCAAATGTGAGATTTTTTTGATCTTTGTTTAATTAAGGGACAAATTTATATGTGTGCATGTATATAATTCCATTTGCACACAGAGGGTTTTATTAATTGCTGCAAACTTACTCAGTAACCATGTGCATACTCACTTTGTTGCCACCCCTTATCCTCACTCCCAGGCCCCAGGTTCCCATGACATCCTGTTCATTGATGTAGGTGTGGGGGAGTTGAATCTTGCTGAAGCCGAAATGGCCTCGGTTTTCCATCAGATGTCGGAGGAGCAACGCACAGGTGCTGACCTGGGAATGTCTCCACAAGGAAGACATGATAAATGTAATTTAAGGAACTAGTACTGTACAATATAAGAACCATTTAAGAGTATAAATAAGAAATATATAGCAAGACTAAATTTGGCCTGCTAAATATGCCCAGAAAATGGGCTTTTTTCAACTTCCATTTCTTGTTTAATAACACAATAGTTAACATTGTACAAACATTGTTGCTGTAATACACCAATGACTTGTTGATGAAATTAGCCTGCTTGCTAGTTTGCTAGCTATTAACCAATGCCAGCAAACAAATTATCAGTGTAAAATAACTTGAAGTATTGAAAGTAAAGTTCCATTTTCATTTTGCAGCCGTTAGATTGCCTTATCTCCTAACCTGAGTGTGAAAAGATATTGTCCGTTTTTTTATCAAACTGATTTTTCTTTCCCAGATGACCTGGTGTACTCGGACAGTCGAACCATCCCATCTCGCTCCGTCTCGCAGCTCAGCCACACCTCCTATGGCAGCAGTAGTGCAGGGGGCCCCCAGGGCAGCAGCAGCTATCTGCCCGGCCCGGATGACTCCGAGGAGGAAGACGATGACCAATGTCAGCCCTACCTGCTCTACCAGTCTCACCTAGGCCCCTGCAGCCACACTTCTCAGGAGAGCTTGAACTCAGCTAACCCCCAACCACAGGTCTCTAATATGCTTCATATTACTCAATCTTCACTACATTACATTTACTTTGCAGCTGCACTTGGACTCTCTTAAACCCAGTTTGGTTTCTATGTTGTAAAACATCAGGTCAGAATTCTGTGGGTTGAGGAAAGGCTTTGTTTGACATTTTGCGTGCATACAACACATTATAAATTTGTAATGTTCACATGTTCAACCTCCTTACATAATCCAACCCCCACTGCTCTCACATATTCTGTCTGATATTAATCAACTTTACTGATTTATGTATAACCCACGGAGCTTTTAATGATAGATAATAAAAGTTTGATGCTCAAAATGTTTTCCATACCAGTTCTTTGTTGTATTTTGGTAGTATAGTACAAGCTGAGGAAAACATATTGAAGTACTTTTACCGATAGTAGCCTGTAGTCTGTGCACGGAAGATACAACACAATGAGTGTATTTTGACCTCATGGTGTAGCACTGAGCTCACTGCAACATGGCGTGTTGGGAACAATTAGCTTCATTTATATGAGCTATTAAGGTAAGATACGACCATAAACATGTACTCAATCTTGCCCTGGATGGGTTTTATGAAAAAGATATATAATGGTACAAAACTCTCACAATGTGTTATGATCTGTCCACCAATTAATAGTGGCTTTTTTAATGAAGTGATTTTCCTTCAGACATTCCAGGCCTTTTGAGCACTTCATGTTTTCCTCATATGCACACATGTGCGCACACACACTCGCACACTCTCACACACACTCGCATACACTCAGCAGGCTGACATGTTATTGAGTGATGAAGGGGAGACAGCTGCAAGATCAGAGGAAGGTTGCATACATTGCATCAGTGTCTATTTATGTGTTGGAACAGGACTCCTGGAAACGATCACAACAACCATTACTGGTCTGTTCATGAGAAGCAGATAAAAACAGATTGTGTTTACCATTAGTCTGATTGACTTTGAGCAGGCTGCTTTATATAATGTCTTTACGTGTGTTGGGTTTGTATGTCTTTGAGTTGTTCCTGACACGCTATAGAACATAATGTTTACCTACTGAGGAATAAATCATATTATCCGAATCAAAAGATGTTCTTTGTAGTCATCAGAGATAAGGGATCTGAACACAAAGAATATGATTAAGCTCTGATGTTATCAGACCCACCTGACCCTGAACTCATTTCCAGCCTCAGTATCCAATGTCATGGCAAATTTGTCTCACAGATGGCCAACACACCGGGGGAAACATGAGGACGGCAAAGACAGCACACAGCCCAGACATCAAAAAACAGACATTACACTTCTCTTTGGAATCAAGTTTCTAGATTAGTCACAAGACAGCAGAGTATCCCGACATGTTTAATATACAAACTGGCAGATTGAAGGGGAAAAACCTAATAAACAAATGGAGACAGATAACAAATTTGGATCCTCACTAGTTTAAAATACTTTATAGTAATAAACTACAGTAATAACTACAAGATATTTTTTGACTGACATGAAAATGCACCAGCACCAAAAACAAACAAAAATGAACAACAAAGTTTCTCCTATACATCAAAAAACATTTTTATGGAAATGCCTTTTTCAACTAGTTCCCGTCCACTAAGCCATAGAGAAGAGCTCATGGAGGGCGAATGAGGAAAATATGTTTGGTGCATGTTAGATTATAGGTGGCTGTGGTTGGGAATAGGGTTTAGTTTTGAGTCTGAGAATCCAACATATGGGGTGTTGAGGCTGGATTGGGACACAGTCTGAGAGGAAGTGTTGTCTGAGAAGCACTATTCAAGTCAAGAGAGTCATTTACACTTCAAAGATTTGTCATATTACTGTCTCCATGACTTCCTGGATTTAATTTGACTCTTTCTGGCTTCAGGGACCTCCCGTGTAAAAAAAAAGCATTTCATTGGCATTTGCATTGCAAGTAGTCATTTTTCCAGTGGAATTATTATGTGTCTGTCCTTTTTTACTTTCAGTCAAATGTAATGTCTGGACTGTTCATCCAAGTCATTTGATAGAGAAGAACCTATTCTTTGTGATGAAATGAAATCAGATTTGGACATGGGATGATTTGATTGAGAGTGCAGACTCTGATGAGACCATGTGAAAGTGTAGTGGGGACATTATCTAGAAATCTGTATTTGAAAAACACATTTATATTATCTTTTGATTTGCACAGTGAGTGAAATTAAAATCGTATGACATATTATGTAGTTTCTATACTATTGAATTGTACATTTTCTCAAGAGCAATTTCATTAGCTTTCCATGAGCCCTTTCATTTATGTTCATCAATACTATATTCTGCTAATGTTTCTTTTTTTATCATATCTTGTGTCAATCATCCCTAATTTACTTTTTCTTTCTTTAGATCACTGACCTGAACAGACACATATCCAGCATTGAGACCATCCTGAGCCGCTTAGAACAGAAAGTCACCTCAACATATGACCAGGTAAATCTGATCCAATGTCAAAAACACTTTTGCCAAACTATCATCATAATCATTGTCATCAACTAACCATCAAACATTTGACCAGCTGTTGTGTAACCATCATATTTAAGCTCTGTTAGACTAGTTGTTGTAATGAAAATCATAAGAATTCAATTCATAGATATGATGATATTACAAATATGAACATTATTGTCAATTTATATCTTAAGCTTTAACTAGCAGGTCTATCATACAACAAATAGATGCATACAAACATACACATACAAACTTTTTAGACGAACATTCACACAGATGTGTTCCATGCAGTCCCTGTTCTGACACAAGTGTAGATGAACTAAAACTGAAAATGCACTGTATGCAAACGTATTAAAGATCGGATAGTTAGCATGCTAACTATTTTCAACACTATTTTCAACTCTGTAGCGTCTGGAAGCAGCACTTATCAGAGGATTTATTATATCTCCCTGTCTTGTAAATGCTATGGTGGCTGTAATATTCTGCAAGAGTTTAAAAAAGATGATGGTGAACAAACAAGCAGTTTTAATGATTTATTGTTACTATTTTCTAAGAAACATAGCACTATTTGAGTTAGACAGTTTGGCAAGAGTTGCTGGGCTGCAAAGCTTGAAAAACGAAATATACAAGAGGGATGTTGTGATTCAGTGGTGACTAACTTAGGCCAAGTGCTCTGTGATCTGTTTGTCTCTCGACTTTGAGTGAAAACTGGGGAGCACCCACTGCTTACCCACACCGACACAATCAGTGCTGAGCCAATGATACTCAATGACTCTGGCTCTTACTGAAGCAATTCATTTTGAATATCACAAAGGATTGTCATCAACTTGTGGCAGAGTGAACTGAAGTGGGAAAAGCACACTTGTAAATGATCAAATAAATAATGGCTGAATTCCATTTAGCTGCTTAGTTGTAGGATGCTGGCTGTTTGCATGCTGGCTCACTTTTCTTACTGGGACACTTGAACAGATCAGAGCACTGGTTGTATATAAAGATGGTCGACGCAACTCCACTTCCCCATCACTGCACAAAAATGATAAATATATAGAGTCTATGCGGTGATGATCAACGAGTGAAGCTGTGTCATCGAGGTCCCGCTGATGCACCAGTCTGACATGTTGCAATCTCAGGTGTCAATCATGACTTCTCGACCTGCATTTAGAGCATGAAGTCACTAAAACCAATCCTCTACGGAAGAATTTGCGGACATGACAGACACCATTTTTGAAAAATGGTTATTTGGATTTTGTGTGTACTTTTACCTCCCATCTGCTACAACAGAGGGGGCAGAGCTTATGCCCTTCACTACAGCCAGCCACCACAGGGCAATCCAGATGTTTTGGCTTAATTTCCAGAGAACTGTCAGCTTCTTTATATACACTAATTGGAACAGTGCCACAGTTTTTAATTACACCTGTGATTTTTTCCCATGGTTCATAATCTCTGTTGTGTTCCTATACACCAACCAGGCTTCCATAACTCCAAACAGCAGCTCTCCTCTTCCTCAGTGGGAGGGAACGGACCTAGAGGAGCAGCAGCTCAGGCAGAAGCTGCATGAAATGACAAACAACATTAGTGATCACAGCCTAACCTCTGACGAGGACGAGTCCAACGGGCCTCATTCCTCGCAAGAGATCCCAGCATGGCGGAGCCCAGAGAGTGACAGCAAACCTTCCAGACTCCCTACCAGACCTTCGTCCAGAACAAGTACCGTGGACTCCATACTGGAGGAGGAGCCTCAGCAAACAGACTCTCAGAATAAATCTGTAGCAGAATTAAAGGTACGGTGTTTAGAATTTTGTGATATCTACTGTTGAAATTGCATGTTGCAGCTGAACACCCCTCACCTCACCCTCTCCTTCCAAACATGACAAAGAACCTGTGGTAGCCTTTAATTGTCATAAAAACTCAAAAGGTGTTTAGTTTGTCCAAAAACATGGCGGCCTCTGTAGAGAGGACCCCCTCGATGTAAAAAAGTATTTAAATATAAAGGACCTTTTCTGGGGTAAAGAAAACTACAATTCATACCATTTGTTGAAATGAACTAGTGAAAACATCATGAGGATTATTCTACATTAAATTTCTGACAATAGATCCCTTTCACCTAAATCTTACACACTGGACCTTTAAATGAGGAAAACATTAGTAGTTGAAAGGTTATCAGTACTTACATACAAGCATCCTTACTTGCATTTACACTTTTACGATAAGTTAATCAAAAACATACACTCTCTCACTCTGGCTTGTTGGACATTCTGTTCTTTAAACAGACATTCTGGCTCATGAAATTCTATACCACCGTGGCAGGAATCCAGTTCAAGCACATGCTGTTGTCATAAATCAAGTCACACAGCCTCATTTATTTTCCCTTTGTATCGACCACATGCAGATGTGCCGCCCATTGAAATAAAAACAGTGTGATGCTCCAATGAGTAATGACATCATGTATGTTCATGCTTACAGGCCTGCCCTACAGACAAACCCGTCTCCTGAGGATTTAACATATTACATAACACAGGAAGTGGGACAACACGCTTCTCTGAAGTTACAACCTGATGTTTCCTTTCAAAGCATGACAGTCTAGTTGCCAATATGACTGAGGGGGGCAAAGATCAACTGTTATTAACCTCTCAGTCTTTGTTTTCTGTTGTAAACTACTTTTTCTTCTTCAATAAATGACTATGATAAATTAATAACAACCTGCCAACAGCAGAATACATATAAGAGTAATTCAAATAACTCATGCAAACCTGCCTGTTTCAAATGGGCTGTTTTCTTGGCCTGTGGTAATTCTACTGAGCTTCAGGCTTACAGTGTGCTGTCATTTTTTATTGTTCGTGTGCTTGACGTTTTGTGCAGAGCTTTTTTTTTACAGTCAAAGATGCACAGTTAGGTTAAAAAAATTGCATTTTTAGAAGTGTTCATGATACTAAGTCCAATAATAATAATAATATGCAGATGGAAATTAGTAAAATAGGTCCCCTTTAAGACTAAAAGGCTATATTTTACTGTTATGATAAGAGCAATACTTTGAGATTACATTTATTTCAATGGCTTTGCTCTTAAGTATTGGATCATCTCTTGAAGCAAATGAACATGACTCTTCCCTCAAATCATAACCTATATTCTTACAGACAAACCATCTGACAGAGAGTGTGGAGAGGAAGTGGCACCCCCTAGAGGAGGGATCCAAGTCAAGCTTCAGAGGCTCAACAGCTTTACTTGTTGAACTAGAAGGCCAGGTAGCTCAAGCAGCTGCCAATGTCCAAAACGCCCAGAGCGAGGTTAGAAGAAACCAGAGGCTGAGTGAAGCTTAACTGCAATAATAAATTGGTTTTGAAGAATCAAAAATGTTTTTTTCTATCCCAAGGTCTCTTACATAGAGAATAGAATTGCTGCTCTGAATGCTGCCGGCATGCCTGTGGATAAAAGGAGAAGGGTAAAGGCTTTCAATTTCCTTAAAGTCCTAAACGTTTATCAGAGTCAGAGCTATTTAAAGCCATCATATGGAAATCTTTGCTTACTTCAAATACTTTTCCTTCAGTGTAAAAATCAAACACATTGGAGTTATTTATCGAGGCAAAGCTATTCCAAGTGCAGATACAATCCTACTGCTAGAGTTTGACATACTGACTTGACTCAGAAACAATCTCCAGCTCCATCAAATGAACCAATAGAGCATGTCTATCTCCAAAGCAGGCCTGCCTCTGATAAATGAGTCTACTCTCCAAAGTTCCCAAAAATTATATATGGATTTTCTCACATCTTGACACTTTCTTTTTTTTTTTGCCTTCCTGTTTGTCATCTGCTCCGGGGTCTTGTAGTCTGCAATCCCAATCCACCCAAGAAGACTTTCCCACAACTTTCCCACAAGTAAGAACCCTTACTGCGGCCCTTGAGCATGTTCCCTGGGGCCTCCAGACTGCGTCAAAACATGTTGATCTTGTTAAAGTCAAATTTAAGAACATTGTGAAGTTTGTCCTATTGTTCTGCGGTTTTAATTTTCCCAGCAGAGAGTGCATACCATGTTTTTAGGCAGAATAGTGGTTATTCATAAGTTTCTAAGGGAATTAAACATTTTTTTTCCGTAGATGTTCACTGTGAAATTGAGGTAGGGAAACTTAGAGCCAAGTGCCGCTGAAACATGTTGAAACAGTTGTTGCAGAGAGAATGTTTGAAATTAACTTTCCTCCTGACCTTTTCCTTTAACCGTACTGTTTCAGTGTCCTTAAGAAAGAGGTCATTGTCATTACTAAACCTCTAAGGACAACTCAATTGGTTCCAGTTCAAGGTTTGTCAGAGAACCGTTTGTGTTTTTGAAAAAGAGCCAGTAGACTATGGATAGACCATGTAGTTGCTGTTTGTCCCCAGGCCAAGTGGACAAATTTGTGAGGAACTCCCTCTACAGGGGCTCCCTGACGCAGAGGAACCCGGTGGCCAAGCCCAAGACCAGAGCAAACTGTGCGGTATGGCCCCACGCTATGGTGCTGGGTGTAGTGAAGAGTTCAATTCCAGAATTACACAGCAACCATTTGAAAACATTATGCAACCATGAGATAGCAGGTTGTTATGATCTAATTCAACGCTAACCTCAAGGCAGAAGTTTGGTATTTTCCTGCTGAAAGTTAGAATATGTCTATATGCAAATTGGAAGCCAGAGTCAGAAGCTAAAGCTGAATTCGTACAGCTAGAAATGAAATATAAATACACATCAGGGCCACAGCATTGGCAGAGATCCTGTGTGGGGGGGGGTGAGAAGAACTGTGATTGGCCATTTGTTCTCATGCCAGTGCAGTGCTGTAAACATTAAGGAAGTTAAAGATTGTCTAGCATCAATTTTTCTCTTTTCAGTAAGACAGCAAGCCTTTTATTCACTCTTTATGAATGAATGATCATAAACATGGAGATTGCTAAGCCGTAGTTTTACAATTGCTGAGGCACAGGTAAATAATGCTGTAAGGATCCTGGCACTAGACATCTAAATCTACACAGAGGTACCAACAGTGGGCCTCCTGTCAACCTGTGTGTCGGTTATACTCTGTAAATCCAGCTTTGGCTCTGTCCGATAAGCAAGAAAATCTGCCCACCAGTCAAAGCTCCAAAATGAACACATCTGGAAGTCACTGCTCTTTGCCAGGAAATAGTCCAGGCTCATAACCCACTGCAGCTTGTGGTTTTCACACTTCAGTTGTACCATGTGAAATACTGACCTACTGCTGGTAGGTGGATTCTGTTATGTTGGAAATGAACTCTTCACGTCACAGTAACACTGGGCTTTGCCTCACGTGGTGGCTGGTTTCCTGTCAGGCTTTGTGGTGGTTTGAAATAACTGCATTTTCTTTTAGTTCTGCTTCTTGCTGTTCAATCAAGGATGTATGCCCTACATGCAGACTCATTCAAGCTAATGATGCATTGATTTTTCCAATTTTCTTAACTTGTGACAGGTAAGGATCTTTATGATTTACTTTTCTACAGGCTCTGAAACTACTAATAAATACACTTGCTTGCATCTTTATTCTGCCTAATCTAAATAAACCTGTGCACGGATCCTGAGTTAGATGAGGAACAAAATGAAATGTTTAAGTCTATGGCTAAAGATTTGAATCCCAGCTGTGTATAAAGTTCTGTGTTTTTAAAAGAGTAATCTTAAGTATGGATGAGTCACAAGCCTTTTTCAGAGATGGCTCTTTCACTTTTGAGTCAGTCGCATGTTAGAAACGTCATCAACACCCCCACTTGCTCAAGGTAAATCCTGTCCCTGGATGTCCTGCTGTGTTCTCACATGGACTCACTGGGACATTCTCCAAAGTCTTTACTAGGGGGCCAGCAGGAGAAACTCCAGACATTTGCCTTCTCACATACCGTCCAGAGAATGTCTTGACATTCTCTGGAGTTCAGTGCTCGTCTGAGAGTAGCTTCAGCCTCACTGAGATGGGCTCAGTCTTGGACTGTTTGACCATCCAGTCTCCAGCAGTCGAGGACTGAGCCACTGATCTATGAGACCTTTCACCTTTCTTTGATTTTCTACTGTTTGCTTAGTGCTTATGCTTCATTCATCAGTGATAATTTTATATGAAATGATGGACATGACCTATTCAAATGTGTTTCTTTGTGGTTGTGTTTAAATATATTCTCAGTTTCATGTTGTTGTTTTTTTCAGCTAGAGTAATTAATATGAATGATTGATAATCAACTAGTCTATAACATTTATAATATTTTTTCTCTCATTTGCTTTGAATGACAATTGATTAATTAACCCAATTGAAGCATGAAACGTTTGATCACCTCTTTCTCATTCAAACAGCCAATCACTGTCTGTTTCTGTCTGTGTCTCTCCCCTTGCAGAAACCAGTCATGACACAGGGTTCCTGAGGAGGAGGCTAAGCCTTTTGTGACTGAGCAGTCTTTTCTCATTACCACATTTTGTCAGTTTATTACAGTTGTCATAAACTGACATTTAGCATAATGAACTTTAGTCCAGTTAAAGGGTGTATTACTTCAATTCAGACACTGT